TTCGTCCCTTATCGTGGATACGCTCATGTAGTCAAATGCATAGACCAGTATAGAAAAGTACGCACAGGGTCAACCACATGTGCTGGTGACAATACGAGAACTCTGAGGAAATTTTGAGAAAGACTGAGCCTAGCTGAGGGAAGTTGACCTATATTCCAACACTGACATGAGGAGTAGCGTGGGGACAAGCTATCGCGGGAACGGAATTACCTTCAAATAGAAATCCCCAAAACTTCGAGTAGGCTGTAAGCTTCCCTTCACATAGCAGCCCGAGTACTTCGTGACATGCTCTAGTCTTTCCAGCTCGACTGGGTACCCCAACCAGGACTTCACGACCAACCAACCGCCTAAGCCCGATGAAACTCTATGCGATAAAGAGCCTACAAAGAGCCTAGTTACTCTTAGGAACAGCTACTATAACCGGTTCATGCCACTCCTTCTTACACCTACAAGTAGCCCTAATACCATGAGCACCAACGCTGTGACCACTACCTTATAACGTTGTCCTCATTAGGGTGCTCCAGTTCAAGCCGTCTCTGTTCTCGTACATCACTAGCGTTATGCTGCATGTTCAGAGCCAACGCAGGACACTGATCTCTGTATAGGACCTTGTAGAAGGGGAGGCTGGTCCATAAGATTCGCAACTCTTATAAACTTACTGCTTTACAATCACCAGCATTCGCCACCACCAAACTGGTCTGTGTGATGAGCAATGCCAACCCACATGCGCCGGTCTTGACAGGCTGGGAAAATCCCAACCTAGAAAGAGAAAGCGTACCACAAAAAGAGCAAATCTGGGTGAATCGAGAGACCTCACTTCTGAGCTTCTCGTGCATGTTCCTCCAATCCTTGATCCGCTACCATAAATGCCTCCTTGCATGCCGATTCGATTACACGGGAGTCTATATTCCCAGCCTTGTGGGTCAATCGGCTAGCCAGAAGCGACGGTAGACGACCACGGAGATATCTAATCAATACCCTCACCGCGATAGTAACCAAGATAACAACAGTACTCGGCAACCTGCCAGCCACCATGTCCATCGAAAACACAGGCGCACATGATTCCGCAAGGAAATTGTTGTAATGCTAGCCGATCTTCACAGGGAGCGTTGGCTGCATATTGATGGCAGCCAATCCTAGCACTTGGTATCGGCCGGGTCGGTGCTGGTCGTGAAGCCTGATGGGTACGACTACATGGGATTTGTACTCGCCTTACTCACGGGTAGTAGTAGCTGAGAGCTTTCTGCACCAACAGAAGCAGCAACTGATCCCTCACAGCGTGTTCTACGGGCGACCTGTAGGAAGAGATAGTGCTGACATATCGAGACTGCATGGAGTGTACTTCGACAACCTTCACAGCTGCTACTACAGCCGCAGGCATCCACACTAATGCAGGCCGAATAAGGCCCGACATCACTGAGTGCCGATCCGAGGCAACTCACGTGAGAAAAGAAGACCTGCTTACAGATGAGCGGCCGAGTTGCCTCAGATGAACTCAAGAGTGTAGTAGTAGACGTACGTGTGAATGAACCTCAGTAAGAAAACACTGCGGACAAAAATAAACACCGCAGCAGTAGCAGCAGTAGGAAGCCGAATACACTCGATGATTCGAGCATGCTGGTAGTAAACCAAATAGTATGATGAGAATTCAGAGGTTATTATAGTGTCATGATATGATGCAACAATAAGTGACCAAAAGATATCGACCCTATAGCTTCACGACCACTACAGCGACGTCGTGATGCGTGTTCCTTCTTGTTTCGCCAGGTTGCATTAGCCGAGCTACTCTAGGAGTTAATTTGCCGGTCCGAGCGGCTAGTATTATAACCTACGACCGTTACCATGTAAAGAGCAGCGTTCGCGACGTATTCGTGAGCCCAACACTTCCAATGCGGTTTGTGGCTGTCCTCTTTCGAATGCATCTACCGTTGTTCAGACAATGTTCGGATCAGAAGTCCCTAAAT